AGTTGGTGTTGGTATTTCCCCGGAGGACAGGATGCCGATGGACATGGGTGGCGACAGCATTTTGTATGTTGAATCGTTTCTGTACTTGGGCTCTCTCATCACGCCAGACACCCGATCCTCACCTGACATCCAGCGACGGATTGCCAATGCGGCAAAGGCGTTTGGCTGCCTCCTACCAGTGTTCCGGGATACCAGCTTGACGGTGGCAACAAAGCGTCATTTGTACACAGCCTGTGTTCTGTCGGTTTTACTCTACGGTGCTGAGTCATGGGCTCCGCTTCGGCACGACTTGGATCTGCTGGACAACTTTCACCGCCGGTGCATTCGCTCCATCTTATGTGTATCTCGGCGTCAGCAATGGGAGGAGAAAATCTCATCGGCAACGCTCCGTGCGCGCTGGGGTGACACTACACCGGTGTCAGACCTTGTTCGGCGTCGGCGGTTGGAATGGCTCGGGCACGTCGCGCGCATGCCTGCAGACCGTGCGGGGGGGGGGGGGGGGGGTGCTCCCATATGCCAAAGTGCATTCTCTTCGGTGAACAGGACAAGACCTGGCCACGTCATGGGCCCCGGAAGCCCCGGAAGCGGTGGCGGGACAATGTTGTGTCCGACATGAAGGACCGCCAGATAGTGGACTGGTACGACCTCGCCCAGGATCGCAGAGAGTGGAGATCAGCATGCTGCACCATTCCTCCGACCGAGCCCGTCACCTTAGACTTCGTTTGCACTTGTGAAAAGCGCTATCACTGTCGCCAGGACCTGACTCGCCACGCCCGATTCTGCTCGTGACTTGAACACTGTTGGTCCCTTCGGGACCTGCCATCATCTCCGGATGGGCATATTGTATTGTATTGTTATGTGTGTGTGTGTGGGTGAGTGTGGGTGTGTGTGTGTTTGTTTGTGCGTGTGGGTGCTTGTGGTGTGTGCGTGTATGTGTGCATGTGTGTGTGTGTGTGTGTATGTGTGGAGGACACATGTTCAACTCATGGCCTCCTTCGTATATCTTGGCAGCCTCGTTGACCCTGACTCTCGTGTTGGCCTTGAGGTTGATCGTCGTCTTGCCAGTGCAACTCGTGCATTTGGAGCACTCCACTGTGTGTTTAACACTCCCGGCCTGTCCATCCGCACAAAGAAAATGCTGTACGAAACTTGCGTTCTGACTGTTTTGCTGTATGGTGCTGAGTGTTGGCCGGTTCTTCGTCGTGATGAGATCCGTATTGACGACTTTCATCATCAATGTCTACGATGTATCCTGGGAGTCTCGTGCTGGGATCAGGAGTTGAATAATGTCCGGAATTGTGACCTCCGTAAGCATTGGAGGGATGAGGATCTGGTGTCGGACACTATGCGCCGTCGCCGCCTCCAGAGGTTGGGCCATGTAGCTCGGATGCCTGACAACCGTCTCCCTAAGCAGTTGCTGTTTGGATGGCTTGACGCTCCCCGACCAGCTCAGGGACCTCGTCTTCGGTGGAAGGACAGAATACAGTCAGACATGAAACTGTGCTAAATTGATGAATAGTTTACTCTGGTCCAGGATCGTCAGCAATGGAGAGATGCGTACCGCACTCGTGTGCAGGGTCCTGCCCCGGTACCGCTCTCTTGCCTGGTATTTAAACGGACATTCAATAGTAAATCTGGACTTGGACGACACAAATGTTCTGCTGATAGCCTGTAGCGGAACAGCCGGACGCACATCAAAGCCATGCCTGGCTTCGGTGGTTCCGAAGTGCCGGTGGACTTGCTGTGCACAAGTGCACAACACCTGCCCCGGCATCACCGCCCACACCCCAGCACATACCAATCACCAGCCATCAGTGTTGCAACCAGCACTGCGCTACCTGTGATCGCTGTTTTAAATCTGCTCCTGGCTTTCGGCGACACAATTGCAATCGTGGACGGCGTCGTGGCGGAGCGGCTTCCTAGTGGCCATGCTGACTTCTCTCGAACTCTCTCTTCTACTCTCCCCTGTCTCAGGGGCAGCGCGGGCAAGCATTTGGCAGCTGTACACCAGGCCAGGCCAGGTGTATGTGTGTATGTGTGCATGTGTGTCTGTCAGCGTGGGCACACGAGTGCCCGAGTTTGGCATGCGGGAGCACTTGGAGGTGCTTCCATGTTTGCGGGTGCTGAGGCTAACACTGTTAAATGGTCTCTATAAGAGTGGCTGCTGTGCTCCTCTTGGCCTATTCATATCTTTATTGCGTTGCTTTGACAAGGCTCTATGCCTGCCACGTAGAGACGGGTAAACTAGGGCTCGCACCGCCACTGAGACTTGTATTTTCAACCGACATGCATGTGAATATTACATCCACCATGTGGTTGAGCGGGTATAAGCCTAATTCTAGAAGTACTCTTGTATCTTGATTGCACGCGCAAGAACTTTGTTATGCTCTGGGTATCTGTTTCTCCTGTTTAGGTTAAGGATAGAACAAGGATAGAATAAGGCTAGATTAACCGTTTCCGCGCTGGCCCCTTTTACTCCAGCAAACTGCCGTTCCAGCTCACTGACTCTTCTTGTGTAGTTTTCGCGCACAGGTCCGAACGAATTTTTCTCTCAATACAGTTCACCTTGATGGGTTTCGTCACCCTGGGCTTGTTGGAAAGGTCAGGACCAAGCACATCCATCCTGGTAGCTCTCGTCTCACTATTCATGGAGGTTCAACTTCTATGTCCTCTCGAAACTACTTCACGATGCCTCGGAAAGGCACAGCAACTCGATCTCACATTCTTTTTCAGTTTCTAGTTCCAGTTCAGCCGATTTTCACGATTCAAATATTCGTTGAGTTATAGCGCTCAACGAACGCGCATATTGCCATACGCTCAAAGACTTTTCCGCATTGCGTTGGCAATTGATTTTATGTATGATGACTGGCGCTCTAGTTTTTTGATTGCCTTGTAGCAGTAGCTTTCCCGGAGGCTATATACCGTGGAATATTTCTAGAGATTGGTTGCCTGATTCACGGGCCTTTCTGGGTGGCGTGGTTTTTTTATTGAAATTTGACCGTTTTCCCTTGTTGCTATAACCCTAGCAGCAGTACCCTGTCAAAGATATAAACAAGACGCCTGGCAAAACGACTCCTGACTACAACATCATACATCCACATGCACACTTGCCTAGACAAAGACAGTTTGGGGAATTTCATTACAACTAACATCACTACAGACACTAGGTAGTTCTAGAACAGCCTGCGTGTCTGCAAGTGCCAAGGTGTGTGGGTATGTGTGATGCACTAAGTATGCATGTGCATCACAACACAATGCTTGCAATCCACTTCTCGCTCATTTCCTTCATACAGTGGTACTATGTTGTGCAGGGCACATAACAGACTTACTGAAACCTATCCCCAGTCAAGTTTGTGGACCAGAAAGCAGTTATCTAGGTTTGCCAGTGCTGAACACACTTTACAGTTCTATATCATCACTGCTATATCACTAGTAGAGCCTGGCTGGCTTTGATGTAGATCAGTCCAACCTTTCGACCTAGGTCCAACAGATGGTGACTTTGCCAAAAAGTGATTCATTAGTTTTCAAAGATGCCATGTTGACAAATACATATTTAGCAGAAGAAGATGATGCGTTCCCTGTCCCAGTATTTACCCATACACCATGCAATCCCAGTATTTACCTACACACCATGCAATCCCAGTATTTACCTACACACCATGCAATCCCAGTATTTACCTATACACCATGCAATCCCAGTATTTACCTACACACGATGCAATCCCAGTATTTACCTATACACCATGCAATCCCAGTATTTACCTACACACCATGCAATCCCAGTATTTACCTATACACCATGCAATCCCAGTATTTACCTACACACCATGCAATCCCAGTATTTACCTATACACAATGCAATCCCAGTATTTACCTACACACCATGCAATCCCAGTATTTACCTACACACCATGCAATCCCAGTATTTACCTATACCATGCAATCCCAGTATTTACCTACACACCATGCAATCCCAGTATTTACCTACACACCATGCAATCCCAGTATTTACCTACACATCATGCAATCCCAGTATTTACCTACACATCATGCAATCCCAGTATTTACCTACACACCATGCAATCCCAGTATTTACCTACACACCATGCAATCCCAGTATTTACCTACACACCATACAATGAAGGTACGTGTTGGGTCGTAAGTATCCACGCAAACACACATCCAGTCAAAATAAGGCACTTGTCAAAGTATCCGAACGTTTTCGGTCCCTTCTCATCAAGGATTATACAGGGAATGGCTCAAGTTGGAAAGACTAAAACTTATATAGCGTAAAGATATGAGATAACAACACTCGTGACAAGGTGGAAAAAGTATCAAGTTCAGCACGACACAAAACTCGAAGGAAATAATAATAGCGACAAGAACATAGTGAGCAAATTAAGTTACATTGTTAACACCTCGACGTACAGAAAGAAAATGTGTTGTCGCTACAATTGTTTGGTGTTACTCCTCGTCGAGGTGTTAACAATGTAACTTAATTTGCTCACTATGTTCTTGTCGCTATTATTATTTCCTTCGAGTTTTGTGTCGTGCTGAACTTGATACTTTTTCCACCTTGTCACGAGTGTTGTTATCTCATATCTTTACGCTATATAAGTTTTAGTCTTTCCAACTTGAGCCATTCCCTGTATAATCCTTGATGAGAAGGGACCGAAAACGTTCGGATACTTTGACAAGTGCCTTATTTTGACTGGATGTGTGTTTGCGTGGATACTTACGACCCAACACGTACCTTCGTTACTAAAGTATTATCCGCCTCCGACTTCTTGTAAAACACCATACAATCCCAGTATTTACCTACACACCATGCAATCCCAGTATTTACCTACACACCATGCAATCCCAGTATTTACCTACACACCATGCAATCCCAGTATTTACCTACACACCATGCAATCCCAGTATTTACCTACACACCATGCAATCTTACCATGTACAAGTAGACATTGCTTTTCCATGTGCTTATGTTTGTACTGTAGCAATGGAAGCAGCATCTGAAGAGGAGAGTAAGGACAAGTATCAACCACCAAATCTGGCTGAGTACAGTGATCACTACTACTCAACCAATGCACCTCATCCAGACCTGGTGAGAGCATGTGAAGATGACGATGGGGAACAAGTACGACAAGCCGTGAACAGCGGCACTGCAACCGAACCTGTGATTAGACCGGATCTCATGGAAGAAGTGCCAGAGTCATACTTTCAAAATGTCCATCGCTCTCATAGAATTCCTATGACCATCATGGTAAGTCAGAAGTATCCCCCCCCCCCCCCAATAAAAGCTTTGCCATGCATTCGTCAGGCGAAATAGCACGTTATCATACATTTGAGGCCAGCGGGAAGAAGATGATGACGTCGAATAATTTAGTATCTGTGCGCATGAATGTGCTGTGTGTGTGACTTTGTGTGTCAGCTATGACATCAAACCCTGTGGTTCCATGCCTACCGTGCAGGTCAGAACCATCCTGCAAAGTTCGAATGAGGTAGGTAGAACGATCGCGCCGCGAACCATACCTTCTGAAATTTGTTCGTAGTATACCATTGAAATTTCGAATTTCTTGCTGAGAGGGGTAGCTTGCAACCTCGATATGGCTTGCTCCAGGCATGCTGTAAAGCGAAACTCTGTTGAAGTAGTGGCGGGGATCTGCCCTGCAACTGCTACAACAAAAATGATTCGATCTGAGAAAGCTTGAGACCGCGAACCTCCGTTGAATATTGAGTATTTCAAGCCTTTTCACGATAAAGATAGAGTTCTTTTTGGGGATGGACGTCGCGGCAAAGGACATGGTTTCCAACTTCTGGCGTCTGCTAAAGCCAGGGATCATTTGTCCGTTCAGGTCAGCAGGCTAACCGTCGGTAAGCGTGTTTAGATCGCGTTCTGCTCGATGTGGTGGATCACAAACAGTTTTGATATCGCACAAATTGAACTCTGCATCGTGCGTACTGTATTTTTTATTCAGAAAATCGCAAAGTGTCTCTGACTCTCTGTGTGGCCGTCCTATGTCACGAGAAACTCCAATCAGGCTCCTATGTCCTCTGCCTTCTTGATTGAATGTCCACTTCGTTTGAACAACGAACACAACAATCGAGGACGGCTTTGCAATGAAAAATACAGCTGTACTGGAGCTTAAAAAAAGAAGAAAAAATGTGCTCAGGATGAGACTCGAGTACACGCGTACTCTCCCCGCAGGTTTTGTGGATGTCGCTCATAGATGCGTAATTTCGCGTGACGTGCCACTGTTGCACCAAATCTATTTCACCTCTCAAACTGGCTATGTACAACTAGCAATGAATTTCAACGACTTTCAGCCCTGCATTAGTTATATCCAGAGTACATAGCCCCCAACAACTCAACCTCACTCAGTCATTGGTTCTGTCCTGACAGAATTACAGGTTGACATCATCTTTATGATACAAAGCATGTTGTACATGTCTCATCCTGTACCTGTGGAGGACAAATAACATTATGATCCCATGTGATGCATTTATAGACAGCTATTACGTCGTAAATCACTCCTGGAGAACAATTGCATCATACAATATTGTCGGAACAGCACTGTATCTGGAAGGTGCACACCTTTTTAACGGATGATATACTTTTCGTTACAGTCCTTATTTCCTGAGAAACAGAAATCCGATAGAGAAAAATTACATAGAAAGACCAGAAGTGTATTCGCAATCACTTGAAGCATCCTAGTTAAACAATTATTGGCACATAGCACCGTGGGAATAATATTGTGACCATGGATTTCCCTCTAGTCACATACCATGATGGCTAACTTTACAATACACAAAGATACGAACGAATGTCTTATGTTCCACGAACCGGGATTTGAGACTATGAATTTTGAAGCTTTGAAAAGCTCACATCACATGATTATGACTACCATCTGGAACACACAAGGGGCATAATATCCTTCGTAAGCCGAGCTTGAGGAGGCCCGAGAATATACTCACGATTAGGGGTCTAACAGAGAATGTACCTGCGTAGTGGTCTACCAGAGAATGTACTCACGAGTAGTGGTCTACCAGAGAATGTACTCACGAGTAGTGGTCTACCAGAGAATGTACTCACGAGTAGTGGTCTACCCGAGAATGTACTCACGAGTAGTGGTCTACCCGAGAATGTACTCACGAGTAGTGGTCTACCAGAGAATGTACTCACGAGTAGTGGTCTACCAGAGAATGTACTCATGAGTAGTGGTCTACCAGAGAATGTACTCACGAGTAGTGGTCTACCAGAGAATGTACTCCTGCGTAGTGGTCTACCAGAGAATGTACTCACGAGTAGTGGTCTACCAGAGAATGTACTCACGAGTAGTGGTCTACCAGAGAATGTACTCACGAGTAGTGGTCTACCAGGGAATGTACTCACGAGTAGTGGTCTACCAGAGAATGTACTCACGAGTAGTGGTCTACCAAAGAATGTACGTGGGTAATGGTTTACCAGAGAATGCACATGGGTAGTCGTCTACCAGAGAAATTACTCAGTGTACCGTAACACTACACTCGCACTCACACGCTGGCAAAAAAAACCAAGGCAAGAAAGTAATAAAGAGCAAGCCGGCCAGCAAGAGAGGTGTCAGTGCAAGACACAGGCAGAGCAATGGCACGGTGTGGGTGACTGGGCAGCAGGGTAGCACCTGAAAATCCGACTCCCTAAATTTCCAGCCATGGCCGCTAAACCGGGCTGGCGGAAAACTCGCCTTGCCGCCCAAAACTCTTCTACTAATATGGGTCCTGCCCCACTGCCAGTCACACCCAAAAAGCCGAAGGAAAGCAAGTGGAAGAAAGCAATCATGCCAAAAAACGCTGAGCCCCTCGGGACAGAAACACAGCACGCGACATGCCACGGAAAACCAGAAAACAGCTGACAAAACACGCACAAACGCACAGGACCAAAGGGTGGGTGTGTGGTAAAACTCCAAGCTAACATAAGCAACACAGGACCATGCCGTAACATGTGCCAACTGAGCACTACTAGTAAGGCTCGAGCTTCGTGCTTCGCAGGCTCACTCGTTCATCCCCATCCGCTGGGGGTCCCTCTGCCACTCTCCTCGGCGGCGCACATTCCTCATCCTCAGTCAGTGGCCGCCCAATTTGCGTTAGTTACAACTGGTCCAGATGCCAAGGGGAGTGTGGGAGAGCGCACCTCTACAGTAATGTCAAGGCTGCCACCCAAAAATTGGCATGCATGGCCAACTCCTCCAGCAACTGGCCTAGCACATCAGCTCCACGCGCCGAACGGTCAGGCAGATCCCGACCGAAGCATGGTGGGGCGCCAGGCCACTAGCTCTGCTTTGAAGCAGGCATGTGAAGACAGTAGTAACACACAGTTTCTATCACTCACCATACCAGCCAGCCCTGCTCTTGATTCCAAGATGCCATGTATTCACACGCCCATCGATGTTGTCAGCTTAACTAGACTGCTCACTGATCATTGAGGCAAGGCATTCTCTTCCTGCACTAGCAGGGGCTTACAAGCGCCGGAGAAAGTAGCGCCAGGGCTACGGGCAGTGTGCATTGCTGACACAGCTGGCCATCCGCAACGCATTCCGCATTCCGCTCATCCCTGTGCACCCGCCAAACTGGTCTCTATCTGGTATTCAGTGGCAAGGGAAATTTTACTTTGATCGAGCACTGCCGTTTGGCCTACGCTCCAGCCCACACAACGCAAACTCGACCACCTTTTGGGAAACCATCCTTTGCGCCAAGCATCATCGCACCAAGCAGAACATTTACACGGCGCTTATGGCATATCAATAAGAGTTTAGCCGATCGCCGATGCGCTGTCTAGTTTCAACCTGCAAGCATTCCATCAGCTGGCGCCATCGGAATATTACGTAACTATGTGCGTAGGGGAGAAGGATGCCCATGCCGACTACAGACATAATGCTCAGCTGCTTCGCAGCACACTTCCCGCCACCGGTGAAACTACGGTCAATTCATGTCTACATGGCCGTAGTGCGCAACACACATCTCGAAGCCACTTCACAACCTTGCCTGGTTGCGCCATGCTGACATATTTGACTGCCTAACCATCTGATGCCAATGACGCCCTCTTCCTCTACCACTCTGGGAGACTCCTGATTAGGCAAGAGCTGACAGAAGAGCTACGACAGCTTCTTCCACTCATGGGAACATCCCATACTCGCGATTACACTGGTCATTCGTTCCGCATCGGTACCGCCACTACTGCAGCCATGGCGAGTACCCCTGACTGGTTAATCAGGGCAATGGGCCGACGGAGGCGCAAAGGTGTCCTGCGTTACATCAGGACGACTGACACCGACATAGTGCAGCTGACCCAAAAGCTGTCCGAGGTACAGGCGCATTGCAAAACACAATGAGATATGTAAGAACCCGCCAAGCGGGCACACAACTCACACTGATGCATGTGCCCACACACTTGCTTAGACCAGCTGCCGATTGCTTGGAACAGCATGGCAATTTGCTCTGCTAAGATTAGGCTGACAGACTGCGCTGATAGCAACAGCAGCATCACTCACATGCGTGGATTGCAATATGTCACAACTTAGCATGGAGGCTGGGCAAACATGGGCAAGCTATCTCCTCTCATCTGGCAATCTACCACGGCCTTCGACCATCACCCTCATACGCCCACACTCATGCCCCCTAACGGGCATCGCACTTTGTACGTGGGTGGTCCACACTCCGTCCATTTCATGGGCTGCACTTCATGCGTGGAATATCATTATACCATCATATGAGCCGTCCAATCTCCGCCCATTTCATGGGTGCTACTTCATGGGCTGCATCTCGTGTGCAGATGATCCTACATATGATTATCAAATGCCAGATTCGGTTGCCCTGCACTCCATTAATCCTCCATAATTTGTGTGTTCTGCACTGGTCTGCAATAACGAGTGCATGTGTGATAACAGGGGACAACAAAAACAAAAATGTCCGGGACCCAAGGGAGGGAGGGTGGGTGGATACATTCCAGGCTAAAACGTGGAACACAGGACCATGACGGCAGATGAGAGAGAGAGAGAGAGAGAGAGAGAGTTGCGCAGTGGAAGAGCAACAGTGCACAACAGAAAAGGTGAATAAAAAATAAGTTTTTACACTCTTTTGCTATGCTCAGCCCTGAAAAGCAACATTTTTTTACTCACATAGCAACCGGTTTGTTCATGGGGTAGTGGTCTACCAGAGAATGTACTCACGAAGCAAAGGATAGTCAGGCGGAAGCAATGTGTGTTGATACAGAAAGAAAGTCGTGCT